GTCACCATGGCAACTGACTCTCTGGAGACCTCTGATGTAGACAGTGGACCCCTAGTCACCATGGCAACTGACTCTCTGGAGACCTCTGATGTAGACGGTGGACTCCCCGTCACCATGGCAACTGGCTCTCTGGAGACCTCTGATGTAGACGGTGGACCCCCTGTCACCATGGCAACTGGCTCTCTGGAGACCTCTGATGTAGACGGTGGACCCCCTATCACCATGACAACTGGCTCTCTGCCAATCCCCAAGGGGACCAGTGACTCCCCCATCTCCATGGTAAAAATACCCACCGTGACTACCTCAGCGTCCTCCAAAAACAGAAGCAGTACCCAACTTTCAGATCAGGGGACAAAGGGCACCCTGCTGGTGGCTGTGTTTGTGGCCCTGCTGGTGGTCATTGTCCTCGTGGTCCTACTCCTGCTGTGGCGGCAGAGGCAAAAGAGGAGGACAGGGGCCCTGACACTAAGCAGGGGGGGCAAGCGCAACGGGGTGGTCGATGCCTGGGCTGGGCCGGCCCAGGTGCCTGATGAGGAGGCCCTGACAGGAATCGCAGTGGGCTCTGGGGCCGAGAAAGGCTCTGGGGGGCCTGAGGGGGAAGGGGCTGGCCGACAGCCCACACTCACCACCTTCTTGGATAGAGGCAAGTCCCAACAGTGCTCCTTGGGGCTGGAGGAGCTGAAGGCCGGGTCAGCTCCCCTCCTAAAGGGGGAGGCGGAGCCGCTGGTGGGCAGCAAGGATGAGGCTTCGGAGCAGCCAGAAGCTGGGGAGGTGGAGGCCCCTCAGTGCTTGTGAAGAACGAGAGTGGAGGTCAGAATCCTTCCCAGCTTCCATCACTTTCCGTCCGATCGTCAGCTCCAGGCTCCTTGTCTCCCAGCATGTTCATCCTGAACCCTCATCCAGCTTCTCAACCCCGGGGTCTTCCCACCAGCGCCCACCCCCGGTGCCCAGAGGGCCTACCCCCACGGGACGCTTTCAGACTGAATCAATAACCCTTCCTCATCAATTCTGACTTCTCCCCACCGCCTTCTCCATGTTTTTGCCCTCAAGACCGGTTACTGAGTCTCCACAATGCCTACGATTTCTCAGAGGACTCCCCAGGAACACCAGAGTCTAGGAAGGAGGATGGAAGCAAACTCCCACCTTGGATCACTCTGGAAAGTATTTTGGCCCCATAGATTAGGACAGTCCTACTGGGTCAGCTCAGGACCTTCCTTTAACTCCGCGCGGTGCCCTGCGGGGGGCCACCTGGAGTCACCCAGCTGTGCTCCTGGGTGTGCCGCTGACAGCACCTGGACTCTAGGCCGGCCCCTGGCCCGCACCCCCACCCTCCCCCCACCTGTGCACCGAGGTGTCCAGAGGCAGCAGCTACTTCTTCCAGGGGCAGAGGCGAGAAGAGTTTCCGGGCAGGTGTGGTTCTCAGAAACCCCAGCACCTGCGCGGGTCCGGGCGTGGGCGCCGTTGGCGGGCACGAGGCAAGGCCTTGGCTCTGAGTGTGAAGTTGTGGTGGTGAGTACAGCTGGTGCGAGGAGGGGGCAGGAGGGGCGGCAGCGGAGTGGGCCCCCTGAGGGACCGCTGAGAACATTCGGGCCCTCGTCTTTGCTCAGGTGGGGCGGAGGTAGCAGATTTACATCTGTCTGTAGCCCAATAAAGAATGTGGGGCCTGATAGAAAGACTGCATGTGTGACCTGAGTGTGGTTCTTCGGCTCAGTCGCTGTCTGCCCTGCTCGGAGCCTCCCCCGCCTCTGCATGCTCGCCCTCCAGGAAGGGGGAGAGGAGAGCTGAAAGCGGGGATCTTGCTGTCACCCATGTAAGGTGTTTGTATCTCGTCTTCCCCAGGGAGGGGGCGAGCTCCTTCCCTTCTCCAAGGGGAATCGGTGAGACTGACAGGCCCCCCAGAACCAGGAGCTTCCCCTGTGGCTCCGGGATGGGATGTGATGGGGGGCAGGGGGGACAAGACCCCACCCCAGGCCAGAGCCCAGGGGCCCACATGCGCCAGAGGCCGTTGGTACTTCCCCAGGACAAAGAGGAAATTTGCAAAGAGGAAGTTTTTGAGTCAGAGGGCTCGGTGCCTGAGAGACAGGTTGACATACAGTAAGAGAGGTCCTTGGAAAGCACGGGAGTGTGACTGCCCCGTGGCCCGACCCGGAGGGAAAGATCTGGAGACAGCCTGGGTGCATCTGTTCCTGGGGGGGGGGGAGGGGAGAGAAGGAACAGAATGTGACCACGGGTCCACACAGCCACCAGGGTCTGGGCCACCTGTGCTTGGTCTGGGGACAGGCTGAGCTGGGACGGAAATGCAGCCCTCACCAGCTAAGCTGGGCACCACCAGGCTTCTCACAGGGCGATGTTTGGACGAGCCTTAGCCCCAGCAGCAGGAGCGAGTCCCCAGAGTCCCCCAGACACACCGCAACTGTTGTTTCAGATTTGCTAAACCAAGCGCTCCAATTTCAGGTTTAGAAAATACTGTCATGAACTCAGAGGCCATCGGCTCTACCCCCTTTCGAAGGACACATGCAATCACTTTTCTGGAACTATTACTGGTTTCTGGGTCCCGGGCGGATCCTGAAGGAAGTGGGGCAGGAGAGGTATGGCACCCAATAGGGCTCTCGCATCCTGGAAAATAACACGATATGTGAAAAGTGTTCAAATAGAGGTACAGACAAAATTTTATGAGTGCACCGCAAGAAGGGAGTGACGCACTGCTCCTGGGGGAAGGGTAGGAGGCTCCACCCAAGAGCTGACTTAGCTCAGAGTCTGATTTCCCGCTGTGCTCCGGGTGGCTATTGTGCCAGCAAATGGTGGGTCCTCAGTAAATATTCATTCGAGTGAATGAATGATGCTAAAAACCGTGTTCTCAAAACCTGTGCAATGACTTTGAAAAATGTCTACGATATAATGTTTACCTGGGAACAAAAGCTACTTACTAATCTGTAAATATGTATGAATCGAATCTTGAAATGAAAATGCAAAAACATAGGGGCCCCTGGGTGGCTCAGTCAGTTGGACTGACTCTTGATTTCAGCTCAGGTCCTGATCTCAGGGTCATGGGATCAAACCCCATGTCGGGCTCCACAGTCAGCGAGGAATCTGCTTGAGGTTCTCTCTCTCCCTCTGCCTCTCCGTACCCTCGTATGTTCGAGCTCTCTCTCTCTCAAATAAACAAATAAATTTAAAAAAAAAAAAAAAAGGAA